AGCCGCTGCGTGTCGGGCCGGGGCGGCAGGAAGGGACCGGCCGCGCCCCGGGAAACCGCTCCCGCAACCTCCGTTCCGGCTGGCAACGGGGCCCGGTCTCCTATGGAGGATGGAGGGTTCCCCCGGGGCTCCGCGCATCGCGGGTTTAACTGCAGGGACCCACCGCCCTGCGGCCCCTCACCCGCCGAATATGAACTCGGGGGGGTGCGGGAGGAGGCAGCGGGGCACCCCCCGAGCGGACCCGGTGTCACGGCAGGCTCAACCCTGCTCTGTACAACGGCTCTGGGAAACAGCTGCTCAACGGCTCAGGTACAGAGCGAGCGCAAGGTGAAAAATGGTGATTTAATGTGCTCTAGGCAATCCTGCTTTAGCAGGGGAGTTGGACTAGACGATCTGTAGAGGTCCCTTCCAACTCTTCGATAATTTTGTGGAATGGCTGTGACTTGAGAAAAGAGTGACAACAAGAGTCGGAGGGCAGGTGCCGCCTCCTGGCAGGTGTCAGTGTGGAGGGTTCTGCTCTTCCCCAAAAGTTGCTCTCCCAGGTTCACGCACAAACCACACAGCGTGACTGCATCCCCTCTGCGGCTCCCTTAGCGAGCCACGGCCACAGGCAGCAATCAGGGAAGCCACCCTCTGTTTCCCATCAGAGGAAAATCAGAGGAAACCACTTTTGAACAAACAATAAACAAACAGGAGCATGCTGCCTCTGGCACTGTAGCCAAAAGAGCTATTCTAGAAGGTACATCGTAATTTGTGATGCCCCTGCTTTCCGAGAGCCGCAGGGGCAGAGCATGTTCTGCTCTAACAGCCGGATTCGGGATTCACCTCGCCCAACTGGCGCACTCTGAAAGCCATTCGTGCCATTGGAATTACTCAGCTCTGCTTCCTCCTCAGCCAGCACAGAGAGGTAGAGGTCCCTTCCAACTCTTCGATAATTTTGTGGAATGGCTGTGACTTGAGAAAAGAGTGACAACAAGAGTCGGAGGGCAGGTGCCGCCTCCTGGCAGGTGTCTTTGTGTGGAGGGTTCTGCTCTTCCCCAAAAGTTGCTCTCCCAGGTTCATGCACAAACCAGACCGCGTGATTGCATCCCCTCTGCGGCTCCCTTAGCGAGCCACGGCCACAGGCAGCAATCAGGGAAGCCACCCTCTGTTTCCCATCAGAGGAAAATCAGAGGAAACCACTTTTGAACAAACAATAAACAAACAGGAGCGCGCTGCCTCCGGCACCGTAGCCAAAAGAGTGATTCTAGAAGGTACATCGTAATTTGTGATGCCCCTGCTTTCCGAGAGCCGCAGGGGCAGAGCATGTTCTGCTCCAACAGCCGGATTCGGGATTCACCTCGCCCAACTGGCGCACTCTGAAAGCCATTCGTGCCATTGGAATTACTCAGCTCTGCTTCCTCCTCAGCCAGCACAGAGAGAAGAGGCATCATCTAGTTCCAATGCCCCTGCCCACAGCAAGGAGGTGTCCCTGCCCACGGCAGGGGGGTTATGCTGCCTCTGGCACTGTAGCCAAAAGAGCTATTCTAGAAGGTACATCGTAATTTGTGATGCCCCTGCTTTCCGAGAGCCGCAGGGGCAGAGCATGTTCTGCTCTAACAGCCGGATTCGGGATTCACCTCGCCCAACTGGCGCACTCTGAAAGCCATTCGTGCCATTGGAATTACTCAGCTCTGCTTCCTCCTCAGCCAGCACAGAGAGAAGAGGCATCATCTAGTTCCAACCCCCGTGCCCACAGCAGGGAGGTGTCCCTGCCCACAGCAGGGGGGTTGGAACTAGATGATCTTTAAGGTCCCCTCCAACCCAAACCATTCTATGATTCTATGATCACCACAAAACAGTGCATCCCATCTTTTGATGGGCACTGGAGATGCACTCTGGTGGCACCCACTCTCTCAGGAACCAGCCCTGTCCTCTAACTTTTGGGGAGATGACAGGCTTTAGCACCACCACAGAGCAGTGCATCCCATCTTTTGATGGGCACTGGACCCCCGTGCCCACAGCAGGGAGGTGTCCCTGCCCACAGCAGGGGGGTTGGAACTAGATGATCTTTAAGGTCCCCTCCAACCCAAACCATTCTATGATTCTATGATCACCACAAAACAGTGCATCCCATCTTTTGATGGGCACTGGAGATGCACTCTGGTGGCACCCACTCTCTCAGGAACCAGCCCTGTCCTCTAACTTTTGGGGAGATGACAGGCTTTAGCACCCCTTTTCTAATCTACAGCAGCCTTTTCTACTGCTCCTCTCTGAGGCTGGAGTCCTGACCAATTTGGGCTCCAAACATTCACCCTCGTATGCCAAGACAACTACAGAGAGGAAAGGATTGAGAAAATTGAGAAAACACTGCAGTATCTGCTGAAGAGGGCAACGAGCAGTGATTACTCACAGTGCCCACGGTGCCAAATTGCACCAAACCAATGAGGTTGGTGCAGAGCAGGGAGGAGTCATGGCCGTCAGTGGGCGTGCGAGCTACTGGCCTGACCTGATGTCCTAAATACTTTGCTTTCCTATCAGTTACTATCATCTCGTGGGACACTTAGCTGGAATTCACAGCCCAATTGTTATGGGATTCACAGGAACAACTCTGGACACTGGAATATGAGGTTGGCTTTATGGGTTAATTTACAAAGAATCCTCGGAAAACGCTCGTCTGAGGAGCACAGACAAGCAGTCAAGGATAGTGCATCTTGTGGAGTGGAAGGAAAAGAACAACGGTGGCAATGGCAGCCTGGTCAACCCACAGGAAAGGAAATGTGAAATACATGGATTTATTATGTTACATTTCTTATAAATATTTCGTTCATTTCAGAAAACTAACAAAAATAAAAGCAACTGAACCCTTTCAAGACAAAAGTTGAGTTTGCCTTAGAAACAAGGGCTACCAGCAATACACTTGTTTTAGACAAAACCAATATGCTATATAAAAACAAAAGGTGATTTAAATAAAGGACATAATAATAATTGTGCTTAAAGCTATATCAATATCCACAAGGAAGGAGGAATGTTGTAGTGTGTAGAACAGGTGCAGGACATTGTACAGCTGGTTTTTTGTTAGGTACTAAAGGAAGAACATGATGGTTTTTGTGCACGTTAACTAAAAATACCCTAAAGCGTTCTCCCCCACCTCTGTCCTTCTGGGCAATCTTCACCGTCTTCAATAGAGGAAGCACCCAAATGCAGCTACCACACAGAACAGGCTGTCCTGGGGAAAACAGAGAAAGGCTCTGGGTTAGTAA